TTAGAATATATGTTTGGTGGAGGAAAACTTGCTAGTTAAGGATGGCAGACTGACACCTACAGGGAGAGTTTCAATACATGGCATGGGGATATAGCCATCTAGTTCCTGTTGAATTGGAGTCACACAGCTAAAATTCTATACCATGCTTAGGAAACTTATTCCCTGATGGGCTAATTACTTTGATATAATTGAAAAAAACACCTTGCCTAGTTGTAAAAAACGCAGAGCACCCTGGAGATGCTTAGATGATAGACATAAAAACTGAGAACACAGTGGGATTTGCTGCTGTGATGCATGAAATGGAGAAAAATTGTGTCCCCTGATGTGAAAACTAAAGGATAGAGAACAAAGCAGCACTACTAATTTGGTAGTATCTATTTCTGTGGCACCTAAAACTTACTGGTATCAAAACTGAGTCCACCAAATCAGGTTCTTGAAACGCAATGATAATACTCGTGCAATGGAATCCTAAATGAAAACAATCAGTTTCTCAAGAAGGGAAAGTCATGTGAAGGATTGGACCTGTATTTGTAATTTGTCTTGTTTATAGGACTGCTGTAGGCATGAGTTTTCATCTTACACCAGTGTTGTTTGTTTTTGTTGTTTGTTTGTTGGGTTTTTGTACTTCCAGATCTGGTGGGCTGGGAGCTCTGAAAAGGAAAGACTCATTCCTCTAGGACAGAAAGTTAGCATTGTTATGGTGGCTCCTTACTAACAACAATAATGTGATCTCAGAACAGCTTCAGTGTTGTTGTGAAAGAAGAGCTCCTGGATAGCAGAGGCAGTGCCCGTCAGCTAAAGCCCTTTTTTTTATTTGGAAGCTGCCTGAAAGCAGGCCTCAGATTGGGCTGGTACACAGTATGGCAGACCAATACTTGTCTGAAGTTGCTGTCTTTTTCTTTAAAATCTCAGCTTTCATTAAAAAAATTTAAAAGGGGGGATTGAATTTTAGGAATAAAGAGACACAGATGAATCTACAGAGAGCCCGCAACAGTAGCTGTGAGAGGTGTGCACTGCCCTGTTCATCTCTGTTAAATATTAAGTCAGATGCCCCAAATGATCATATAAATGTCAACAGTGCTAACTATTTCATTGCTCCAGTAACAAAGGAGGAGGAATCACAGATCTGCACAATATACTATGAGCGACATCTCATTTTAACTGTCACAAAGGGTGGCATTTGCTAGATGCCACCACTTTTCCCCCCCTCCAATCAGAAAGGAACCCAGCAAAGCCAATGGGCATATTGAAGCCTGCAGGAGGGGGAGCCAAGCTCTAGGAGTCCAGAGGAGCTCAGATGGTAGCACATAATGCTATTTTAAACATCAGCCCAATCTACTATGAGCACCACCATCTGCTCTGCTCACATGGGCAGAACTTATATTGTGGGAAAAGCCTGGAATAGTACCATCACCTTTTTTTTCCCCTTTCAATTCAACCCCTCACTGAAAGATGATACTGAAAAATCAAACCACTGGCTTTCTCATGAGTTAGTAGGACAGCATCAGTAAACAGCGGAAGGAAAACGGCAACCAGTTCTATAGAGAACATTAACATTCATTTTTAAATTTGGGTGTGCGCGGCAAGGGGGGGTTAGACACTTCTGGGGGTGTTTAACCTTTAAATGCAAGTGCCATTTACACATGTTTCTATGATGGGCGAATCCCTGAAAGTGGAAATAAAATAACATGGAATAATAAGGAAGTGTTATTTACTCCTTCTCATAACACAAGAACTAGGGGTCACCAAATGAAATTAATGGGCACCAGGTTAAAAACAAACAAAAGGAAGTATTTTTTTCACACAGCGCACAGTCAGCCTGTGGAACTCTTTGCCAGAGGATGTTGTGAAGGCCAAGACTAGAACAGGGTTCAAAAAAGAACTAGATACGTTCATGGAGGAGAGGTCCATCAATGGCTATTAGCCAGGATGGGTAGGGATGGTGTCCCTAGCCTCTGTTTGCCAGAAGCTGGGAATGGGTGACAGGGGATGGATCACTTGATGATTTTACCTGTTCTGTTCATTCCCTCTGGGGTACCTGGCATTGGCCACTGTTGGAAGACAGGATACTGGGCTAGATGGACCTTTGGTCTGACCCAGTATGGCCGTTCTTATGTAACACATGCCTGCTGATTCTTTTTCTGAATAGGACATTGAACAAAGGAAGCTCTTAAGTGACTTGTATAGGATTTTTATTTCTTCTTATGATTATTATTTTATTATTATTGGGACATAAAACTGGACTGGACAACCACTAGACAATGGATGGCAGGGAACAGTCCTGTATTGTCATGAAGATAGACTTATAATGACCTAACATTTTCCATCTCCGATAACTTTCCCTCTCTGACTTTTATAGCCTTTGTATATACCCTTGCAAACCCATCAGAATCTTCTATATGGGGAAGTAAGCAGGCGCCCCTTGATTGTTTTGAAGACCCAGATAAATCCCAATGTCACCCTTCATGAGGTTTGAAATCTTCTACACATACTTCCTTTCCCCCCACCCTGTGATGCGGCACCCCGTATTCTTCATAAACATATTGTTATGATATGAATATGGCATAACTATGATATGTTTTATGCAAGATGGGTCATGTGAGATATTGGAAAGGTTATGATTTACTGAAAGTGATTATCCAATTTGTATGCATGTACCATTTCTGTATCTGAAGTTAGGGATATTGACTATGTAACAATTACAACTGTGTGTGTACTTGGGGGAACTCCCACCAGACATTAAGCAATCAGCCTGGATGGGCCCTTAAGAAGGACAATAGAACTTTGAAGATACTAATCTCCCACTTTCCTGAGAAGCTTCATGGGATGCTGCTTTGACACTACAAGGTCATGTGATCATGTCACCTGGTACACGGTCCCATCGTGAGCTGGTATTTTTCCACTGGAAGGGGGTAGGATAGGAAACAAAAGATACCCACCATAGGTAAATCCTATTTAAGGCTGGGAAGTGAGGTAATCAGGGCTCTTCTCCACTGCCTCCCCACCCAGGAAGGAAGACTGCTGCAAACACCTAAAGAAACAAAGAAACTGAGCTGGGGAGGCGGGGGCTGAGTCCAGGTGAGAAGGGACAGCCTGTAAAAGGAATACCTGAAAATTTAAGCTGCAAGCAGTGCAGTTTACCTTCAAGAAACTCTGCAACCTGCTTGAAACAACATTTAGGGTGAGAAATTTATTATTTGTAGCCAGTATTCCTTAGTGTATTAAGCTTAGTTTGCCTGTTTTATTTGCTCAGTAATCTGCTTTGTTCTGTTTGCTATCCCTTATAATAACTTAAAATTTACTTTTTGTAGTTAATTAACTTGTTTCATATTTATTCCAAAACCCAGTTTGTGCAATTCATAACTGGGGAGGGGGAGGCAAAAAGCTGTGCATATCTTCCTCCACATTGAGGAAGGGGGTGATTTCAATTAGCTCACGCTATATATAGATCTCCACACAATGCAAGACAGTATAATTTTGGGTTTACACTACAGAGGGTGTTTGCACAGGAGTGCTTGGCAATCCCCTAGCTGAGTTCTCCCACAGAGAGCTGACTGTAGATCAGTGGTGGGCAACCTGCAGCCCGACAGGGTAATCCACTGGCGGGCCGCAAGACAGTTTGTTTACATTGACCGTCCGCAGGCATGGGCGCCCACAGCTTCCAGTGGCTGCAGTTCGCCGTTCCCAACTTCCCGCAGCTGCCATTGGCCGGGAATGGCAAACGCAGCCACTGGGAGCTGTGGTCGGCCACGCCTGCAGGCTGCCCACCACCAGTGTAGACTGTGTGTGATTCTACAGCTGGGTGTGTCCCTACCTGTGTGTGTGCTGGAAGGGGCCTTGAGAGCCTGACACAGCAGCACAGAGTGTGGGGGACCCAGGCTGGTGGGACCAGGGCCGGCGCAACCCATTAGGCGACCTAGGCAGTCGCCTAGGGCGCTACAATTTGGGGGGCGGTGACCGCAGCGGTATTTCGGCGGCGGGACCTTCCGCTGCCTCTGTGGGTGGCGGCATTTCGGGGCTGTACCTTCCGCCGCCTAGGGCAGCAGAAAACCTGGCCGCACTCCTGGGTGGGACAGGCAGGCTCAGTGGGATCCCAGCACATCAGGTGGCACCCTGGAAAGGGGAGGTCCAACCTGTCACACACCCCACTTTCTATTTTGTTGCTAACACCTTGCAGCAGCAGCTACGGGGATTAAATGCTTCTCCTCTCCAAAGCGTCCCATGCACGTTCTTTGGTAGACGTGGGCGGCTACCTGCGGAACCGCGGGTGACAACCAGGGTGGGTAGGGAACAGTGTCAGGGGCTCCCTTGTCAAAATGTGGTGTCCACTGACCCGGGCCTGACACTCCGCGCGGGGAGAGCCCCAGCCGAACGTGCTTGCAGGTCAAGCGCCGGAAGGGGTCTCCGCTGGAGGAAAGAGACGCACACGTCCCTTCGCCTGCTCCCTCAGGCAAAACCCCGCCCCAAAACATGGGTTTACACGAGCGGAGGCAGAAAGCGCGTTTCCGTGGCCGCAGCACAAAGCCGACTTCATTCCCGGGCAGGGCTGAGCTCCTGCCCTAGGGAGGGGAGGGGGTGGTTTGCCATTGTCCTCAATGGGGCCGGAATCCCCTCCAAGTTGCAACACTTGAAGTGACCAGTCCGTGGAGCCAGGGTGTCCCACCGCCTCCCCGGGCCAGCGGGCTGCCGCACCTCTCCTCGCTCGGGGGGCTGCGCCACTTCGGCACCGCCCGCGCGCGTCCTCCCTTGGCCAGCCCGCCCGGGCCCGGCGCCCTGCGCCAGGTCTTGCCCCGCCCCGCTCGGCAGGGGGCTGCGGTGCCCCGGGGCAGGGGGCTGCGCCGGGCTGGCAGCCGCACAAAGCCGCGCTCGCTCTGCGCTCACGTGCCCGCCGCCCATTAAGCGCGGCCAGAGGCCGGGCTGAGCCCTGCGCACCCCGGGCTTGCACCGCACAGCACCGCGCCGGAGGCTGCCCAGCCCAGCCCGGGTCCCGGCGGCTGAGGATGGAGCAACCGCCTCAGCAGTGCCCTGGCGCCCAGATGGTCACCACCACCAGCAGCTCCTTCACGGCCAGCTTCTCCCCGGCCGGCGCCAGCACCCTCGCCTACGACAGGGAGTTCCTGCGAACCGCGCCCGGCGTCCTCATGCTGGCCGAGATCGTGAGTAGCCCGCGCGCTGCCGCGTCCCCTTGGCTTGCGGGGCGGGAGAGCCGCTGGGGCTGACTGCCGCTCCCAGGCGCTCTCAGCCGGGCAGGATTCCCGGGGACTTTTGGACTCTCCCTCACACGCTTTGTGGCTTCTCTCCAGCAGCCTGGGGACGGGGGCTTTGCACAAGGACCTGCCTTTGCGGTGACTTTGCTTTTAATGTTAAAGCCCCTCGCCAGCCCGCTGCTGCTGGGGAGAAACCCAGTTGCCAGAGTAACCAGTTACAGGTGAGCTGATGATTCTGTTAAGTAGCGGGTTACTCCGGGCTGCGTTGTGAGCTCAGGTGTAGAGTGACTCCGGAGTAGCTGAGCTCCAATCCACCCCATGCACTTTAGCTCAGCCTTACAGCTGAGTTAGAATCTCATCCCACAAAGAAGTCTCTGCTGGTGAGGAGGGCGGGGAAGGCTATCCCTGCAGAAACCTCCCTCCAGCATGCAGACTGTAGGAGGATAGCCCCTTTTACTTCAGAAGGACTTGTCCCAGTGTAGTGATCTGCCTGGGTGGAGCTCATTGCAGGGCTGGGGCCTATGCCTTTACACCACCTGTTCAAAGATGAATCTAACAAATTTTGTCAAACAATGTTGTTCCGTTTCTTCATTCAAATACGCTAGCTTTCGGGTTCAGGACAATTGGAGGTTGAAGCATTTTGCAGACCAATGCAAAAAACAAAATAGTTTTTAATACTGAAAAGTCAGATACACCCTTTTTGCTCAGTGTAATGCTAAATGTTTTAAAATGTCATGCATTGAAGACTTATAAATGCTGAGCCATCGTTGCAATTAACTATTTTAATTAAAATTATATTAGAATCTCTTGTGTGTATGTTATGGAAATGTAACATCATTATGATGTCAGCATCAGAGGTTGTAAATCAGTTTCCATCCAGCTTTAATTAAAGTTGAATAATCACCAAAGAAGAACTTTAATGTTTTAGTCTCTGAACCTGCAAACAGATCCATATGTGCAGACAACTATGCCCCCCTTCCTCCCACCCAGCACCATGTGGGTCTATCCACACAGATCAGCTAGTGGGGTCTAAATGAATAATCCAGAAACAATAACTTTTCTATTCTCTCAGGGTTTGTTAAATTACACATTTTACAGACAGACCATGGGACTGTTGAGAGCTTGGCCCCCAAAATCTACTCTTTAGGATCATCACAGAGAAGCTCATTTTCTGTGGCTTTTAGCCTCCACCTAACTTCCGCCCCAGTTCATTGACTGCAAAAGCAGCAATGCTTCCTGCACTACAATCAGAACTCCTGCAGGCCAGTGGTTTGGGTGCTTCTAGAGTACAATGCTTGTAATATTCTGTTTGAAATCTCATCAGTAATAGAGTATGTGACTTGGGTAACAAAATAAAAGTAGTTTTAAATGATAAATGTTAAGTTCTTGTCTTGTAAAGACCCCTAAAACTTGATGACATAAACATCTACACAGAGCAGGGAATGTGTTCTTTTGTCTGTTTTAGTGTTTGTAATGTCAACAACTCTTGCAGAGGAAAAACAGTCTTGGCTGATCAGGACCAGATTTTCAAATATTTTGTTTTACGTGTTTATACACTGCATTGGTAATATTAATAAATTAACTCTCACAACACCCTTATAAGAAACTAAGTAACACATCAGCCCTGTTTTACAGATGGATAAGGGACTGAGTCATCATTTCATTGCACTTTGTATAGTCAGTTGCACCTGCGCAGAGTTGTTCTAGTAGCCGGGGGTTTCGTGCTTTGTTGCTTCTGTAGATCAAACTTATTGCACACACTAGGGATTCCTTATATTCCTTCATTTGCCTCCCTGCTCCTGGCTCCTGCATGCCATCCTTCCATCCCCCTCAATTTCAGAGACTCTCTGGAACTCTCTTCACCCCCACTTCATGTCAGGGGCTCTGTGTGGGGAGCCCCCCCCATTTCCCTCTATGCCAGGGTTGGTTGTGCCCCATTTTCCCAGTCAAGGGTCTCCTGTTCTGCCCCCATGGCAGGGCAGGAGTTCTGTATGCACCCCAAGCGCCTCTTCTCCCCTCCCCCCGAGGCTCTGTGTGCACTCCCATTCCACCCCCTTCACCCTTTTACCAGGGACCTCCATTTCACACCTTGCTAGGGGCCCTGTGTGTCCCCTATTCTGCTCAATGCCAGTCTCCCACTCTCCCCTCGATGCCAGGTGCTGTGTATGCCTCTACTCCCCCCCCCATTCTGCTTTTCCCTCCCATACCCCCATTTCCCCCTTTACCATGCCAAGGGTTCTGCCTATGCTCCTATTCTCCCCCTGCCCCAATACCAGGGTTCCCATTTACCTCCCCCCCCATGGCTCTGTGCCCCCCATCAATCCCCCACCATTATTTCTCTGTTTTCTGGGAGACAAGTCATTCAGGTTGTCAAGAACTTGCCTCAAACGTTCCCTGAACTTTTGGAATTGATTGGATGCTGTGTTCAAAAGTTATCACATTACATCTAATCTGCCAAATGTCCAAACAGAAATGCCATCAAGTGCAGTATAAGTCTTGCAAGCTCAGCCAAAAATGGTAACCGATTTAGTCTTTTGTCGTCACTTTGCACAGATGTAAATTACTATACCAGGTGCCAGTCAAAATGAGATTGTTGCTTGCTTAAGGCCAAGTAATAAATTAATGGTAGAGAAGGAATTAGAATGTGGGAGTTCCTAGTTGTTGGTCCTGTGCGCTGAATGATTAGACACACTGCCTTTCTGTAAATTAATTTGTATTTTTTTTAAGTCAGCCTATGTATTCAATTAATGATTAGGGATCTTAAACATTTTTTAAGCATTTCAATCCACCATGTAAGTTTCTGCTTGACTGTTTTGCTTTGACGATGGTTTGTGGAAAGGTTACTTATTTGACCACATTCACTTTCAAGGGCTGAGAATATAACTATTCTAAACTTCCAAAAGTCTGACCCAGCAGTGGAGTAATTACTTTATCCATTATCATCAAAGCAAACCAGCCAAATGGAACTCCAGGCTTATGTGCAGTATGGATCCTTAGTGGACCTCTGGCAGAAACAGCCATAGAAGAATCATGTTACAAGATACTACCTAGTATGAGGAAGTAGTAGAAAGTAACTTCTATTACTAACCAAAATACTTGCATGGAGCTGTAATTATTAGATATTGTCAGAACAATCCAGAGTGCTTAGGCACCTGAAATGTAAACAAATTCAAGTTTTAAAATATTGGGAACATTCCAGTATCAACATTAGGGCAATTAAAAAAATCAAGCTATAGTCACTGTAATTGTATTCAAAAGAAATGCCACATTCCTTCCCATTGCCTTTCCACTTCTTATTGCAACAAGGTTCACAAGCCCACTCATGCTTTCTCTGATAAGAGAAATCTGAATAGGTTAATTGGAACCTCAGTAAAGTGTGATACAGAACTCATGGAAGGTACTGTATGAAGTACCTCTAGCACAGGTACAATGGCATGAATTCCATTTGAGACTGAGATTATAGTTAAACTTAGTCGCTTGAACAACCCACACATACAGGCTCTTGTGTAGACTTGTGGATGGGAGTGTGCTTCTTAGTCTTTGCTAGCCTTACAGACTGAGAATGGTTTCCATAGTCTTTCCGTCTAAATAGAGTCTAGAGATACCTGTTTTTGTCCTTACATTAAATTTAGCAATTTATGACCTTTGGAAAAGAATTTCAAAATGATTTTAGTGCCACTCTTACCAGCTTTGACTTTCTTAATATGAAACTTTAAAACAATGTTTGGTATGTGCTTAAGTGCTGTTCTGCATCGGGGTCTAAGATTGTGGTCATGTGTGCTGCAATAAGAAATTATGCATCAGCCTGAAAAATAGTACCTAAAGACCACTACAGATGAGTTCTGAGTTGTAGCTAGTACTGCTGGTTCTTAACTCCACCAATTATGTCAGAGCTACTGAAATAGAGGTTCATAGAATCATAGAATATCAGGGTTGGAAGGGACCTCAGGAGGTCATCTAGTCCAACCCCCTGCTCAAAGCAGGACCAATTCCCAACTAAATCATCCCAGCCAGGGCTTTGTCAAGCCTGACCTTAAAAACCTCCAAGGAAGGAGACTCCACCACCTCCCTAGGTAATGCATTCCAGTGCTTCACCACCCTCCTAGTGAAATAGTGTTTCCTAATATCCAACCTAGACCTCCCCCACTGCAACTTGAGACCATTGCTCCTTGTTCTGTCATCTGCCACCATTGAGAACAGCCGAGTTCCATCCTCTTTGGAACCCCCCTTCAGGTAGTTGAAGGCTGCTATCAAATCCCCCCTCATTCTTCTCTTCTGGAGACTAAACAATCCCAGTTCCCTCAGCCTCTCCTCATAAGTCATGCGCTCCAGACCCCTAATCATTTTTGTTGCCCTCCGCTGGACTCTTTCCAATTTTTCCACATCCTTCTTGTAGTGTGGGGCCCAAAACTGGACACAGTACTCCAGATGAGGCCTCACCAATATCGAATAAAGGGGAACGATCACGTCCCTCGATCTGCTGGCAATGCCCCTACTTATACAGCCCAAAATGCCGTTAGCCTTCTTGGCAACAAGAGCACACTGTTGACTCATATCCAGCTTCTCGTCCACTGTGACCCCTAGGTCCTTTTCTGCAGAACTGCTACCTAGCCATTTGGTCCCTAGTCTGTAGCTGTGCATGGGATTCTTCCGTCCTACGTGCAGGTCTCTGCACTTATCCTTGTTGAACCTCATCAGGTTTCTTTTGGCCCAATCCTCTAATTTGTCTAGGTCCCTCTGTATCCGATCCCTACCCTCTAGTGTATCTAGCACGCCTCCTAGTTTAGTGTCATCGGCAAACTTGCTGAGAGTGCAGTCCACTCCATCCTCCAGATCATTAATAAAGATATTAAACAAAACCGGCCCCAGGACCGACCCTTGGGGCACTCCGCTTGAAACTGGCTGCCAACTAGACATGGAGCCATTGATCACTACCCGTTGAGCCCGAC